CCCTCACCTGGGCGCACAGGTACCTGCCGTTCCCTCACCGGGGTGCACAATCGGGATGCCCCTCACCTGGGCGCACAGGCCAACAGGCTATTTCCCGTCCCCCAGAACTCTCAGGTGTTAATCCGGCCCTTCCTAAACCTCTTCCCCTCTGGGCGCAGTGACAGCACACCTCTCTCGTTAAAGCCTGATCCCTCTCTTTCCCTGTTTAGTACACTAAGTTTCGCCATTTTTATTTGGAGGATGCTATAAATACAGAGAAATAAATTTCATCTTGCACACATAATTTTCAAAGGTCCAACTGTGCCCCCGTGTGGTGACAGAAGAGACTGCAAGCCAGAGAACCTGCATCCGGAGGGTCTTCAACACTTGCAGCAACTGCAAATAATCAGGGCTGACGGTAGCGCCACACCAGCTTCTGCGTCAAACTGTGGTGTTTGTAATGCCTCATCTTATGATCTTGTTTGTTCTTTAGGGCCAGATACTATGTTTATTATCTGCTTTACCCATTTATTTACTTCCTCAACAAATATTTCTTAATGCATTTTATACCCCCCCCCAGCATTTTAAGCAGTTGCTTAAGAGGAGGAATAAGACCCCTCTTATGCACTAGGGTTCTACAACACTATCTGTCCTCCCTCCCAAAGCCAATTACTTGGTACGTGAATTTCCCAAAACTGCAACACTTCGTGATGCGGGGAAATCTACGTCTTGGGTTTCTTCATTCCAACCCTCTTCCCCAGGAAGAAGCCGCCATGGCAGGAGGGTAGCGTATGTATCAGACAAGCAGGTGCCCTGTGTCTCCGGATGCAGACAATTCTGAGAAAGTACATCAAGAGAGTTCTGGAGTTAGAAGACCAGAACCCGAGCGCCGCCCTTCCAAACACCTGCTCTGAACGTCAGTTTCCTCACCTAGAAAATGGGGAGAAGAGGACCTCCTAGTTCACAGGACCGGCACTAAACGGAATCAGGTACTGAGCTGAGGACCCCTTAAGGACAGGCAGTGGGAGGTGAGAGCTCGCCACCGGAGGAGAGGACGGAACCAGAAAAAAGTTTGGAGAACACAGTTTGGAGAACTCACCTACTAAAATTTATGTCCGAAAACCTGATTTCCAGGTTTCAACATTGTTGGCTAAGTCCCACTAATCGCTATCCGCCCCCAAAGAGCCTCCCCATCCCTCCCGCCTCCTGTTCCCACTGCACGCAGGGTGACAGGCTAGTAACTCCGAGCATGCACGCACCCTCTAATTCTATAAAGGGCCAGCTTCCTGATTGCATTAGCAGCACGAGGAAGCTCCAAATTACCGAGGGGCCTTCTCTCCCTGCACAGCTATCTGACAGCGTAGTATAAATCAAAGGCCTCTTGCTTCAGAGGCCTGGGAGGAGAGTGAAAGCACTGGAATTATTCCCTGCCCATCAGCAGGTGGAAGACTCCCAAAGCAGATGAGAGAAAATTGCATTTCCCATTCTCACTGTGGTTAAGGGGCTTTCACTGAAGCCTCCTGCAGTCCAGCACTGCTCCCACACCTCAGATGCTCCAGCACCCCACATGGCACTTACGCTATTACTCAACGAATGTACCCAGATTATTATTTACTTAGGGGAGCCCGCTGGGGGAACGTCCCCCTCTGGTGGTTGTCACCTCATTACACTGGGAAGTGGGCGCGGTGACGGTCCCTTGGCTCCTTTCTCGGGATGAAAAGTTCTGGCACCTGTGGGGACCGTACAAAGCCCACTGCGCTGCGCCCTGCAACCGCGCGAATCACACAGAAGCAGCTCCATCAGGAAGAACTGCTGTGAGCGTATTCGGCAGGACAGAAAGGCAACCGTCCTGATCTCCTGTGAGAGTGTCATCTTCATCTGTGCTTTGTCTTGGGGACACCCCGTTCACATTCCAGGGACCAGCAGTCTTAAAAACAGAAGTAGACATTTTGTGTGTTTGTAAACCACATCTACGGTTCCTATTAAACACAGTTTCCCCAGGATCCTTTTATCTGACATTCTAAAAAGTCGTTTTTTTTTTTTTAAAGATTTTATTTATTCATGAGAGACAGAGGAGGAGAGAGAGAGAGAGAGGCAGAAGGAGAAGCAGGCTCCCAAGGAGCAGGGAGCCCGATGCGGGGCTCGATCCCAGGACCCCGGGATCATGACCCGAGCCGAAGGCAGACACTTAACCATCTGAGCCACCCAGGCGCCCAAAAGTCGTTTCTTTTTAAGGACATTTCTCCCCAAAACGTGCTTTCAAGCTGCAGTTCCACGGATCTGAGATGTGCAGCTAAGCCTTTGCTCTCGCTTCGCAGTGGAGCTGGTGGGTGTGGCTAAATTATGATTTTTATTCTAAGGGGAGGTTAAGAAACATCTGCTGCTTGATGGAAACCATGTGTTATTACAAGACGCTACGTCAGGCATTTGAACACGACATATTCCTTACAATTACACGTACGAAACAGAATTCCCACTAATGTTCTCATCACACACCAACTCAACAATCTCCCCCTGTAACTCACAGGGGATTGATCAGTGCAATTATTTTGTAAAGGTCTTTGTCAGTGGATTCAAAATAACCAGAAACAGTAATTATTATTATTTAGGATTCAAGTGTTAATTTTCCAGCTGAGATGCAGCCTCAGCTACAGGTGTGGATAAAGCAGAAAACAAAGCCGCGTGTGCACGGCACGTCTTCTGGGAGGGAGAGCACCGAGAGTAGTCTCCCTTTGTCCTGTAAGGAGGGTGGGTGCTCCCACTGCCATGCGCTGGAAAGAGGGCCCTGCGGTCTCCAGAGAATCTGCTGCCACCGCGGCTTGTCTTCACAGCCCTGCTGGTCTTCCTCGTCTGCAAGCGTCAGAGAGAAAGTGCCCACACAGGCTGGACAAGAGCACCAGGCCCCCCATCTGCCCCTGGGATGTAAGCAGAGCAGCGCGAGCCCCTCCAGTCTCATGGCCTGAGCTGCCGAGACCCACATCCGAAGTCTGAGGAGGGCAGGAAGGAAAACCCAAGCAGTATTTGGGGCCAGCTCTGACGGCCACATACCCTGCAGAGCACCACGAGGGGGCCAGGCTGCTGAAGCTGGGCTGCAGTTCAACCGCGCCCCTCACCAGGTCCTGGGTCCCCCCTTTCATGTGGTTGTTCCTAAACACCTCACACCTGCAAGTCCACCTGCGTGTCGTCAGCCCTCCGCCTGAACCACCAGGACTGAACCATCACACGTGCTTAGCTGGACCCACCAGGACGAGAGAGAGGGGCCCGACTAGCAGAGCCAGTGAGGGAAGAGGGTGCACCCCTGCCGACCACGGGAAAGGAGGGGCTCCCCAAGAGAGTCACGGACAACGCCGTGCCCGTGACGAGGAAACGCTAAGTCCCTAGAAAGACAAATGAGCAAAATGACACCCACCTACTCTGTGTCTCTGTAGAGGATCCAAGTCCTTCTGGAGAAACTGGGGCCTTGGAAGAGTCCGACAGGAGTCACCTGACACCAAAGCCAGACCTCACGTCACAGGAGAACTTCACCCCAGCGTCTCAGGAACACGGACAGAAAACCCTAACAAAATATTAGCAAACTGAATCCACAAGCATTTGAAAGGATCACAGGGATGCCTGGGTGGCTCAGTCGGTTAAGCACTCCACTCTTGATTCCGGCTCAGGTCGTGATCTGAGGGTCATGGGACTGAGCCCCTCGTCGGGCTCCCTGCTTAGTCAGGACTCTGCTTCTGTCTTTCTCCCTGTCCTTCCTGCCCCTTCACTCTCTCTTGCTCTCTCTCTCTCGCTCTCGAAAATAAATAAATAAATCCTTTAAAAAATCTTTAAAAAGATGATAAACCATGACCAGTCGGAGCTTATCCCAGGAGTACAGATTGGACAAACACCTGAAAATAGATCAATCAATAGCTGTGGGAAAATATTAATGACAAAATCTAATGTCTATTCAAAAATTTTTAGGGGCGCCTGGGTGGCTCAGTCGGTTAAGCGACTGCCTTCGGCTCAGGTCATGATCCTGGAGTCCCGGGATCGAGTCCCACATCGGGCTCCCTGCTCAGCGGGGAGTCTGCTTCTCCCTCTGACCCTCCCCCCTCTCATGCTCTCTCTCTCCTCTCTCTCTCATTCTCTCTCTCAAATAAATAAAATCTTAAAAAAAAAAGTTAAAAAAAATGAAGAAAACCTCTTGGGGCACCTGGGGGGCTCAGTCGTTTAGCGTCTACCTTCAGCTCAGGTCATGGTCCCAGGGTCCTGGGATCGAGCCCTGCATCAGGCTCCCTACTCAGCAAGAAGCCTGCTTCTCCCTCTCCCGCTCCCCCTGCTTGTGTTCCCTCTCTCACTGTGTCTCTGTCAAATAAATAAATAAAATCTTTAAAAAAATTTTAAGAAAATGTTTAAAAACAACTCTCAAGTAAAAGAATGTCCTCAACCTGATAAAGGACATGTAAAAAAAAAAAAAAAAACCTACAGCTGTAATCTTAACAGGTTTTTTTGAAAAGGATTTGTTTCTTTATTTGAGAGAGCAAGCGTGTACACACAAGCAGGAGGGCTGGCAAGAGAGGGAGAGAGAGAACCTCAAGCAGAGTCTGTACTGACCCTGACATCATGACCTGTGCTAAAACCAAGAGTCAGACGCTTAACAGACCGAGCCGCCTGGGTGCCCCTCATCACAGCAGAGTGTTTGATGAGAGACTTGAGTTCTTTCCCTCCTCAAACTGTGAACAGGGCAATGGTATCTGTTCTCACCACTCCACTCAGCATCACACAGGAGCTCCTAGTCAGTGCGATAACCATCTGCCCTCAAAGAAAAAAGGGAACGCGAGAAAGGAGAAGCAATTAGCCATAAATACTAAAAAGAAGAAATAAAATATTTACAGATGACCTGATCCTGTACATGGAAAATTCTAAGAATTCTACAAAAAACAACACAAACAAAAAAAGAACTACCAGAACAGGCAAGATTATCTTATCAAGACTGCAGGACACAAGATCATTATGCAAAAAAATCAATCCTATTTTCACATGGTATCAACAACTTGAAATTAAGAAAACAATTCCACTTACAATAGCATCAAAAATAATACGCTACTTAGTGTTAAGTATAACAAAAGAAGTACAAGATTTGTTCACGTAGAACTATAAAGCGTCTCTGAGAGAAATTACAGATTTAATCAAGACACATTCCATGTTCATAGGTGAAAAGATTCAGTATCATTTATACTTCAGCTCCACGCAATCACTCCCAAAATCCTGGCATGTTTTTGTAGAAATCGACAAAGGGAGCCTATTATTTTTATGGACAAGAAAAGGACCTAGAATAGCCAAAACAATCTTGAAAAAGAACAAAGTTAGAGAATTTATGGCTTTTGAGCTGCCGACACCGTGATCAGCATAAGGACGGACGTAAAGATCAGCGGGTAGAACTTGAAACTGCAGGACGTTCAGAGTCTGCACAGCAAAAGGGACACAAAATCACGTTCTAAAGAGTCACTGGAGAGAGAGGTCTTTCTATCAAGGACTCTCTCGACCCCGTAGTACATTCTCCTGTCGTGTGCTGGATTCAAAACAGGGAACCAACCAAAGGCAACGACTCCACCTCATTCTCTGTTTTGACTCACACGAAGGCAGTCATCTGGAGACCGGGGTTTCATAAACTCTCTCCAGTGGCTGAGATGGAAACTTGGCAGTCATGAGGGGAGAAGCAAATGAGAAGGGAATTTGTACATAAATTACACGTGGAATTTATACGGGAAGATTATTTCCTCTAACATGGCAGTGGGGACGTTGGATGTTTGGGGGAACCAGCAGGGTGCAGGAAAGCTGACTGCTGCCTGCACGCTCTCAGGCTGGGAGAAAGGCTTACTACCCAGTTCTGAACCGATAAAGCAGGGTTTCAAATGAAAACTCGGGGCTTAGAGAATCAGATTCACTCTAAAATGTGTTCTCCACACCTGACTTGAGATAATAATTTAAAAAGTCAAACAAACCCGAGCCACGGCAGAAGGTTCAACAGTCCCAGGTCTCAGTGCCATGTCTACCTGTTGTAATGAACATCCCTGGTGGGAATCTGAGACAAACTGACCCTCAAACCCTGTGGGCTGTCACTAAAATCATAATCCCCTAGATATTCCTGCAGAACGAACCCGACTTGACGGCATCTCCCTCCGCTGGGAGGGAGAACAATAAAGAGCCGGAAAAACCACAGCCTGTTTCCTATCGCATGATTACCTGGTTGCTTCCCAGTGCTAGGAGATGGCCCTGGAAAAGTCCCTGGTGCTCTCAAGTGCATCCTACAAGACGTCCCCAGGCCAGGAGCATGGGTTCTGCCGTCGACCCTCTCTGTGACAGATGGTTGGGAAGCAGCGTCTTCTCGCCTCTACCCGACCGGCCCAGCGCACGCCCCCTGCTCTCAGCAGCAACACACACAGAGGGTGCCTCATCCCGGCCTCTGCCTTCTCCCAGAGACCGCCACAGCCACATCCCTTCTCCTGGTTGTCTGTCCGCGTGCACAGTTCACACAATGTGTACTACCAGCTCCCTTAAGAAAGAAAATGCTTTTGTTCTCATGATTCGTCTCTTCTTCAAGAGCCGTTTTAGAGACTGCAGCCAAGCCCACGGGCGTGGGGGCTCGGTCCCCAGCTGTCGGGGCCGGGAGGGTCCCAGCGCTTGCAGGGCTCATGCAGCATGTCGGACTGGCGTGTGCATTGTGTTCTAAAGTTAATCCATCACGCAGGAGCACTGTCTGACTGCACACTCCTCTCGTGGAGCCCTGTCCTCCCAGCCACGGGGCCCTTCCCCGTCCTCACCATTCCCTGTGCCCCTCACTCAGAGACAAGGGACCGTGAGCCTACAACACCCCACAGTCAGCGCTGTATCTGGGAAAACAGGGGTGGGCGTGGGGCATTCCCCTTCGGTCTCCCTGACCCAGTTAAAAAACAAAGAAAAATCGAAGACTTCTACTTCAGGCAGGAGGGCAGTCAGGACACTCTGAAGGGTCCTCCTCACTGCAGAACAATTAGAGGCTAAGACTTGATTTTCATGCCAGGACTGGGTTTACAAGAAGCAAGGGGCGCCCTAAACACTCCCAAACCAGGGAAACCCTCATGAGCAGGGTCCGGGGGAGGGAATGTAGGTGGGAAAATACACAAAGTGGGGTGCCCTCAGAGAGCCCGCCAGAATCAGGACGACCTGGGGTTGTAGAGGGGGTACAGCAGCTCCAGACCCTGCCTGCAAGGACTCGGAAGTGCCCACCTGGGTCCTCTGGTTCTTGCCAGAGCAAGGTCACCACATTCCCACAGATTACCACCCACTGAATATAAGCCCACAAACAGCACCAACCGTGAGAGGAAACCACATATATGAACAACAAACAAACAAAACAGATGTAAACCCACAATGACATCAAGTATTTAAATGGTCAGATTCAGAATCTTAAAAATTAGGTGTAAACTATTAAAGAAAAAAGATACAATTACCAAAATAAATGAGCAAGTAAAAACAGACTATAAATGAACAGGCATATTTGAAAAACATCCAAATAGAACTCTCCTAAGTGAAAACTATGATTTTTTAAAATCTCAAAAGATGACTAAGACAGCAGATTACACACAGATGGAGAGGTTAATAAACTGGAGGCGCGGGCGCCTGGGGGGCTCAGTCGGTTAAGCGACTGCCTTCGGCTCAGGTCATGATCCTGGAGTCCCGGGATCGAGTCCCCCATTGGGCTCCCTGCTCGGCGGGGAGTCTGCTTCTCCCGCTGACCCTCCTCCCTCTCGTGCTCTCTATCTCTCATTCTCTCTCTCAAATAAATAAATAAATCTTTAAAAAAAAATAAAAATAAAAAAATAAACTGGAGGCACATCTGAAGAAATTCCCCTGAGAAACGAGAAGAGGGAAAATGTAATAAAGATTGAGAGAGGAATTATGGCACGAGAAGGTTGAACAAATATCTATTCAGAGTTCCACACACACTAGCACGGAAGAAGTTTTTAAAGAGATAATGCTTGAGAATTTCAGGAACAAATAAAATTCATGAATCTACAATACATCCTAAACAGAATAAAGGAAAAGAAATCACCCCTAGACACACGGCAATGAAATTACAGAACACCAAAGACAAAGATGATCACCTACAAAGCCACCACAGTCAGACTAACAGACTTTCAACAACAAAACACAGAAACCAGAATCCAATGGGAAATGTCTTCTAATGAAAGATCACTGTCATCCTCTAGCTGTATGTCCACCAAAACTAGTTTTCCACAGTAAGAGCAAAATAAAACCCTCTCACATAAACAGAAACTGAGGGTTCACCTCCAGCAGAACTTCCGAGAAGGCGAGCACCAATCCCGCAAGCCGGCTGAGATTTACTCACACACAACGCGGCGTAAGCACACGTATCATGTGTAGATGATACGTTACACGAATATCTTAGATGTATGTTAGATATCCCTTATTTTAACAGAAACAGTTTCTTTTCATTGGAATGTTTCTCTTTCCTAACAAATTATTTGTTACTTAAAAAAAAAAGGAAGATATGAAATATTAGAAAAATGCTGATGAGGTAAACTGGTAAATATACATTAAATAAAAACAAACATTGTAAAATAACAAGAGTACCTAATTCGGGGATGTAAAAATGCAGAACTAGGGCGCCTGGGTGGCTCAGATGGTTAAGCGTCTGCCTTCGGCTCAGGTCATGATCCCAGGGTCCTGGGATCGAGCCCCGCATCGGGCTCCCTGCTCCTTGGGAGCCTGCTTCTCCCTCTGCCTCTCTCTCTCTCTCTCTGTCTCTGTCTCTCATGAATAAATAAATAAATAATCTTAAAAAAAAAAAAAGAAAACCCTGTGTACCTACTTTTAAAAAAAAAAATGCAGAACTAAAATACTGTACAATTTCAGTATGTGAGTCTAGAGAAGAGCAGAGGTATATATAGTATTTTAAGATCTATGTATTGTTTGCAAAGAAATTAGAATATTAAAGTTAATATAAAATGTAAAATATAAATGTAAAGTTACATTTACTAAGTTAGAAATACAATACAAAGTAAAATTTCAATGGTGATAACCAAAAGAATAAAAATAGAGTAAAAAAATAAATGGAAAAGCAGATGTCTGTATATCACCAATGGGGGAAAAGAGATGAGAAAGGAGAAAATATACCCCATAGAAACATGAGGTTAAATATAAATATATTGGACTCAGCAGCTGAAAGACAGTGTGAGAATAAATCATCAAAGTCTAGCTACATGTTGTTTATAGCATAAATATCTAAACTTAAGGTACACAAACACTAAAAGTAAAAATGAAGACTATACCAGGCAAACATTTATTAAAAGAGAGTTATGATAGAGGCGCCTGGGGGGCTCAGTCGTTAAGCATCTGCCTTCAGCTCAGGTCATGATCTCAGGGTCCTGGCATCGAGCCCCGCATCGGGCTCCCTGCTCAGTGGGGAGCCTGCTTCTCCCTCTGCCGCTGCCCCTGCTTGTGCTCTGTCTCTCTCTGACAAATAAACAAAATCTTAAAAAAAAAAAGAAAGTTAGGATAGTCATATTACTTCAAAGAAAATACATTTCAAGAGAGAAGCATTGTTCAGGATACAGGAAGCTCCACACAATGAAGAAGGGTCAATTTGTCAAGGATATAAAAATTCTAAATGTGTATTCCTTTAATAACAGCCTCTCCCCCCCACACACAAACACACGCACACACACACATACACAAACACATATACACACATACAAACAGTTAATCTCTCTACAGGGAGAGAGAGGCAAATTCGTAACCAAAGAAGAGATTTCAACTTAGCTCTCTCAACCATTGCTTTTGGTCAAACAGAAAGATATGTAAACCTAGAAGATTTGAATGACACATTCAAGAGGGTTGATTTATTGGGTAGATCTAGAATCCTGACTCAAATAAGGAAAAGATACACATTCTTTTGAAGCACACATTAACCCAATCCTGGAATTATTCCAATAGCATTAAATTTCAAAAAAGTAGTATCATTCAGATTATGTTACCTGACTATAATGCAATTTAGAAATCAACCATAAAAATATGGAGAAAAATTCCCATGCATGTGGACATTTTTAAATATACTTCTAAATAACTTATTTGCCAAAGAAAAAGATCATAGTGAGTACAAAAGAATAATTTCATGACTGACAGTAAGAAGATTATATATCAAAACATGTGAAAGGAGGCAAAAGTGATGCTTGGTAGGACATGTATGTCATTGAAGTTTTCCTTAAAAAGAAGATAAGCCAAAATTAATGAATTAAATATAAAAGAACTTTGAAAGATTATTAGGTATAACATCAGTTCACAAAAACCTATTGCATTTTTATATGCCAGCAACAGTCAACTAGAAAAGGTTGGGTTTTGCGGGGTTTTTTTAAGTATCATGTATCAACAAAAGTATGAGCAAAAAAAAATAAACTAGGAATAGCTCTAACAAAAAAATGTGCAAGTCCTATATGGAGAAAATCATAAAAATCGTATTTGAAGACCTTAAAGAGAGCCTAAATAGACTGATATACTGTGTTTATGGATGGCACAATTCAAGTCACAAAGATGTCACTTCTCCCCAAATTGATTTATAGACTCCATACAGTTCTGATCAAAACTCTTAACAAGTTTTATCAATAAAACTGACACACTAATTCTAAAATTTATGAAAAAACAAAGGCCACAAATATCCACAAACCGTGTGAAGAAACTTCCCAGATGTCATGACTTATTGTGAAGCTATAGCAATTGAGACAGTTCAAGAATAAGCAGAACAGAAAGTCCAAAATAGGCTCGTGCATTTACAGGGACTTACTGCATAGCAGAGATGCGTCGCAGGTCAATGCAAACGGGATAAGCTTTTCCAAACTGGGGCTGGGACAACTGCCTACCCCGATGGGAAAGAAGTCTGATCAGTGCCTGACACCACATATGAAACACCCATTTCTTACTACTTAAGGACTTCGCTGTGAAAGGCAAAGTTTTATAGATTTTTAGAAGTAAAAAAGAAGCGGGGCGCCCGGGTGGCTCAGTCGTTAAGTGTCTGCCTTCGGCTCAGGTCATGGTCCCAGGGTCCTGGGATCGGGCCCCGCATTGGGCTCCCTGCTCAGCCGGAAGCCTGTTTCTCGCTCTCCCACTCCCCCTGCTTGTGTTCCCTCTCTCGCTGTGTCTCTCTGTCAGATAAAGAAATAAAATCTTTAAAAAAAAAAAAAGTAAAACAGAAGCTATCTTTATGATTCCAGGTTAGGCAATGCACTCCTAAAATTAAGAACTTCTGTTCATCAGATTTTATAAAGAAAATGAAAATAGGACAAGGCAAAAATTGAGAGATGATGGGGATAACATATAAACAACAAAGGTGTTCAGAAGCCACAAGAAACTACTACAAATCAGTAAGAAGACAACCCAGTGGAAAAAAGAGTGATCAACGTGAAAAGGCACTTCAGAGAAGAGAAGCACAAAAGGCAAGAAAACAACAGGGAACTTGACTTACAGCCAGAACGGCTACTGGAAAGATGCAAGTTAGGACCACAGCTTCAACTCTGACACACATCTTCACCCAGACTCACAGACTAGAAAGCGTGGTGCAGGGCTGCCGAGGGTACGGTGGGGGTACAAGCTGAGACAGCCCCGCAGGAACGTGGTTTGGGGTTGCCCCATACATCTGCATTCTGGGATTCAGCAGCTCCACCCTCAGGCTCCAGCTCAGGGGCACCAGGAAACCCAGCACTTTTCATAAGAATCCAAAACAACCCAAATGTCCATCTACAAGAGAATGGTAAATGCATCCTGTCACACTCCACATGAGCTATTAAATAGAAGTCACGATAAACAATAACCACACGAAGTAATATGGATGAATCCTGGGTACACAGTGATGAATGAAAAAGCCATTCACAGACCCAAAATCCCCATATATATGTGATGCATTTTTTTATGTGATGCATTTCTTCCAACCTCAAAACCAAGCATAACTCCACAGTATGCATGCAGCAAAACCCCACACAAAGGGAGCACAACAAATGCAAAACTGAGGGAATTAAGGGGGCAGCACAGGAAGGTGGGGAGCATACAGGGAGTCCTCGCAGTAGTGGTAATGCTATAGATTTCAGGTTGGCTGACGGGTTCATTTTAGGATGACACACAGATTTTGGTATCTGCTTAATTTACGTAATTTTCAACGGGGAAGGGAAGAACAGAGGGAGCCATCCGAGTAAAAGCTATTAAATGTTACCACTGGGTAAACAAGTACCTGTGATGCTTATCTGTTTGCCCCTCCCATCTGCTTCGCAGAAGCACCGCCTCCCTCCTCAGCAAGCCTTGCTCCTGCCTGTGTTCCCAGTCCCCGCCTGGACCCTCCAGCACAGCCCCCTCCCTACTGGCAACACCAGCCCTGGTCTCACCACAGCCCATGACACCACCGGCCCTGCTCCCTGCCGGTGCCTCCATTCTCTGCCCACAACACTGTGGCCGCCTTTCCCACACGAGAGATGCTCCCCTCACGTGGCGCCATCTGCGCTGCCCTGGTGGATCCAGAAAACTGCCACACCAGCCCTGCTCTCCCACCCACTGGCTGGCTCTCCCATGTGCCCAGGCAGCTCAGACCTGACAGACTCCCAGGGAACTCCCTGTGTCTCATCCCCCTGCGGCCCCGCCCCCCTTCCTGGTTCAGGGTCTTCTTCCAGGGGCCACTTTGGACCCCTCCTTCTCACTAACCTGCCCAGCAAGTGACAAGACCTGGTGGTGGTAGCTCAGAAACTCTCCCCACAACTCCTCCCATCTGTTGGGATCACCGGGAACTGGGGTCTCCAGCTCCAGGTTCACTCTGCCCTCAGCTATCAGCAGTGCCTTACACACAGATCAGAGGAGCTCAGGCATCTGCCCAAAAATACGTAGTAACTGCCACTGCCTACAAACCTAGCTACACATTAGAATAACGCAGCGAGCAAAACTCCTGATGCTCGGGTCCCCTCCAAAACCAATTAAGTCAGAATTGTGACTGGTGGTGTCTGCAACTTTTCAAACATCCTAGCCCTGTTCCCGTTTTTGCCATAAAGGACTCCATCAAGGGATCCCCCAGAACCCCAACCACGATGGTCCTTGTGTCTAGAAGGCCTGTTTCCTCCTCTGTTAGAATCCCATTCAAGGTCTTCTTCCAGCAAGAGTGAAGTAGGTAGAAACCAGCCGTTGCTCCTGCCACAAGAACTTGGGGAAAACAGGTACTTGCAAACACCAAGTTTTAACAGACACCAAAGAGCTCTGGAAACTAAGAGGGCTGAAAAGTCTGGCTCTCTGCACGGGACATCAACCTAGTGCTCGAGAAGCATGCACGTCTCAGGAGTGTGGCCAGGCCTGCAGGACAGTGGAGGTATCTAAGACTAGACAAACCCCCAGCAGCAAGGAGGCCTACAGAGCACCCAGGAAGAACCGTGAAACCGCACGGGGACTGAGCCATACTTGAGGCTCCAACAAGGCCCTACCCCAAATCAGTTGTTGAATTGAGGCGATCAGCCCCCCCCCCCCCCCCCGTGCGCCTACAGAAGAAAGGCTGAGGTGTTGGAGCTCTAGATTTCTTCTACGCACGATGCTGGCGTGCCGCTAGGAGCAACTGGGACAGTCGCATGGTGTGTCCACTGAAAGCATCAGGCCTGGCAGACCTACGCAGAAGGGAGCAAGGGGGACCAAGAAGTGAGGCCTGAGGGTCTCTTTGGGACAGTACCTGGCAGGAGTCCAGAAGGCTCTTTGGAACATCACAGATTGACCTCCTGAGGCTTCCAGGACTGTTCTGGGTAAGTTTGGGGAGGGGAGGGGGCTAGAGAACTTGCAATAGCCAGAGCCTGAAAAACCGTTTCCATGACAGCTGGGGTGGCCCGAGGATGGTAAGGGGGTCAAGGGTCGCCCCTTTTCGTCAGAAGAGGATTCGGGAATCAGAAATCTATGAAAATGGCACCACTGCAAGGTAGGTAAAATTAAGTGAATACCACGCGTGGCTCTTCTCCTACAGACTAGGGTTGGGAAGAGCCAGCAGCCCCTTATGGCAACAATACGGAAAATGTGTTGCTCTTTTCTAAGGATCAGGATCAAAGTCATGTTGGCAGAAAACATACTTTCACCACAAAGCTACACTCTATTAATTCCTGAAAAATGACACTCATTATAGGGAGGTGTCCCTGCTTCTTGACTAGATTTGAGATTTCTTCTTTTTTTAACGTGGGTGTTTTGGTCACACATTCCCCTCTACGCGCTGCATTACCTGCAGCACGCAAGCTTTAGTGTTTTTCGTTCACAGGCTTCTAATTCCTCGTGATTTCCTTTGTTCGGTTAGTTGAGGAGTGCTGCTTAACGTCCACACAACTGTGGCTGTCCCCGGTTTCCTTCCACACTGCCGATTTCTAAATTCTGCAGAGAACAAGGCGCAGTCGCTCAGGCCGAGTGTTGACATAAGCAGGAAAGCAGCCGAGGGCATGGCTGAGACCAGAGGTCAGCCAAAGCAGCACAGACTGGCAGGACAAGGGCCACGGGAACCCGGGAGAGCCAGCGGCCGATGACCGCGGGAGCCGCAGGGAGGAGATCCGCCGCCCCCCCAAGGCTGCCCGCGGTGGGAGGCCGCTGCCCCGAGGGCTCTGCACGGGCGTCCATCCCTGCACACAGCGGAGGCGCTGCGCTGCCCGGACGCGGCAAGCAGCAGGCGAGGAGAGCCGCCTCCGCCCGAGCCGTGGGTTCACGGACTGACTCGTTCTGCTTGCGGGGACCCACCACGACACCTGATGTGACTCGGGGGCAACCAAGCTCAATGTGTCGCGCGACCCCCTGCGTCTGGAGCCCCCAGCCTGCTTTGCAATCGCTGCCCCCGCTTTCCCACCGCATACCGCTGGCTCGGTGCGGAGGCGCCCAGGACGAACCCCACCGCGGTCAGAGAACAGCTGGGTCTGCCAACTGTTGAGAGCCCGCCCACAAGGCGCCCAGGGCCGGGGGACGGGAGCGAGCGTGGCCCGGAGGCCGGCGGGGTCTGCAGGGCGGCCGCACGCCCCCCTCCGCCCCGCCGGTCCGCCCCGTGCTGGCGGGGGCCGGGGGGCCCGGCAGCCGGCGCTGCCTCCCCCTCCGCCGGTGCCCTCCCGCCCCAGGCACCAGGGAGCCCCGCGGCCGGAACCGCGGAGCTTGGACAAACCGCTGGGTCATCGCCGGCCCGCCGGCCCTCTCCTCCCGCAGCTCCAGGGGCCTCCCTACGCGCGAGCACGGGCCACGGGCCCCCGCCTGCCAGCACCCCAGGCCCCGCGACCCAGGCGGCGAGCGGCCCGGAGCGCCCGCCTCCCCCGGGCCCCGCACCGCGCGCGCCATCGGCCGGAACCGCAACTTCCCGATGTGCGCGTGGCATGCCGGGACTCGCGGTCTCTGCACCGCCGGCCCAGCACGTGACGGGGCTGCGGCGGGCGGCCCGCGTTGCATGCCGGGACGCATCGTTTGGCGACCCTGGGCCGCGGCTCCCCAAGGGAGTTATGGGACAGGGGAGCGCGCGGCATGCCGGGACCTCGCAGGGCACGCCGGGGGTTCAGGGCCGCGGCGCGCGCTGCCCGCCGGGACCCGCAGCCCCGCGCCGCAGGAGCTCCCGGGGCACATGGGGCGTGGCCACGCTCTTCCCGTCCGGCCGCCTCCCAAGACGCTCCGGGCACCCGCGTCCGACGCAGCGCCTCTCGGGCCTCGCGTGGGCGTGTGTTTACACGCGGGCCGCGCCACGCACGCACGCGGCGTCGCGACGTCAGACGCCGTCCCGGAAGTTGGCGCGGGCCGGGCGGCGGGTGGAAGCCGGTGCCGGAGCGCGAACTGCAGCGCCGTCGCCTTCGCGGCCTGGGCCGGGGTCGCCGTCCCGCCCGCCCGCCCGCGATGGGCAGCGGGCCCTGAGCGCCCCGCCCGCTCGCCTGCCCTCCCACAGCGACCCCGCCCGGCCGCGATGGAGGCGCCGCCCGCGGGCCGCGTTCCCGCCGAGGGCACCCCGCCGGCGGCTGTGGCCGAGGTGCGCTGCCCGGGCCCTGGGCCGCTGCGCCTGCTCGAGTGGAGGGTGGCGACGGGCGCGGCCGTGCGCATCGGCTCCGTGCTAGCCGTGTGTGAGGCCACCGCCTCCACGCAGCCCGCCGGGCCCTCCCCTGCCCGCGCTGGCTCCGGGGGCTGCGTGCGCGCCGAGGGCAGGCTGAGGTCGGAGCGCGCCGGCGTGGTGCGGGAGCTGTGCGCGCAGCCAGGCCAGGTGGTGGCCCCCGGGTGAGTGGGGTCGGGGGGCGGGGTCCGGAGGGGTCCTGGGCCGGGCACTGGGCGGGAAAGGTCCCCGGGCTGCAGCCAAAGGGCCTGAGCTCGGGGAGCGCTTTGCGCGTCTGAGGGTCTTTTCCGCGGTCGGAGCGCAGTCAGCCCCGCGGCATTTGACTTCAGCCGCCAGGAGGGGAGGGCGTTCGGTCTCCTTCTGTAGCCCCCGCCCCGGCTGCGCGGACGCGAGGACCAGGCGCGCCCCACCTCGTTACCGCGGCGTAAGCTGCTGGGGTGGGTGCACTCCCGGGGCTGCTCGTAAAGCGCCAGAAACGCGGTTGTAAAGGCTGGTTGTGCCTCGTAGCTCGCGGGGTGCAGCCTCAGCGCGGGTAGTTCAGATGACGCAGGAGTAGCACGTCGTAGCTGCTTAGAGCTCCGCCTCAACCGCACAAGGGACTGTCTTCTCTTGTCCATCTACACCTTGCGCCAGTTTCCCGGTGTCGTGCCCTGAGATTGTGTGTGTGATGTAGACAGGACTCACGTTTTCGCTGTCCGGAGCAGAAGCCCGGCGGGTGAGCCCTCTGGTTCCTGCTGCGGTGGTCGGTGCACGGCTCCGCTCTGCCGGGGCCGCGGTGCACCTTAGGCTCCTAGGTGCTCAGCGCCCTTCTGCACCCTGCAGCCGGCCGGTCGTGCCGTTTGCTCTGGTCTCTGCTCCTCTCCCTGCGGCTGCACTATAACTGCATCTGTTGAGCGTCTGCTTCCTGCCCTGCCCACCAAACACTCCTGGCCTCCGTCCCAACCCCGCAAGCCTTTTCCTGTGTCCACTTCTTCCCACTCGTTGTTTGGAGAGGGCACCCTGGTCCTTGAGGGGTGAGGGCCCACGCCTGCCCAGTGGATGCAGGCAGGGTGGGATGGGAGCTGCCTTGGGGCTGCACCCTCCACGGGAGCTGTCTGGCTGCTCTCCTTTGGAAGGGAAACACTTGCTGGGCTGTACATCTGGCATGCTGTGGCACGCTGCCATCATTACTTTGAGGTCAGAGCCTACCTAAACCTGTGAGCCCACAGTTGGGGAGATGAAGCCCGATGCTGGTGTGTCACTGTGGAGAAGATTGCTGAGGGGAGGGGTTCTTCATTTCCTTCTTTTCCTCCAGTTATCCAGAAAAGGCCAGTAGGGTCCAGGCAGATCACGGACTAGTTTGCGGCTGGTTAGAAACTCCACGTGCAGGGCTTTGACCACATCAGCCCGACTAGCAAAGCAGAGTAACCCTGTGCGTTAATCTCACCAGTCAGCCAAGTAACTAACCTGATGACAAGCTCTCAGTGCTGAGAAGTTCTTTCCTTTTTGTGTTTTGGATGTTTGAGATTGAGGGTATCTCGCTGCTGTGATTCATCACGAGGCTCTCCAGAGTCTGAGGATAGTGTTTCTCCTGGAGACGCAGGTAAAGCGCTGTAGCACAGCCAGGCTCACCTGCTTGGAGCTGCCCTTGCTGTCTTCATCATCACTGGCATCGGTGGGACTTCTCTGACACATCAGCGGTTATTCTCAAGCAAGGAACTGCTTCTGGGTGTAGTTGAAATAATCACTAGATTATCATTCTGATTTGCATGTTTTGTACCTGCTCTCAGGTAGAGGTAGGAACTGTATCCTTCCTCCTCTGATAGGGAGGGAGGGCACTGGGGTCCCCAGGGGTTTGGACGTGCCCAGCACCTCACCTTGCTGAGGCTTCTCATGGTCGTCCTGCGCCATGCCGTTCTCTCCTTAGACCATGTTGCATCCAGAGTCCCAGTGTGGGGAAGTAGATAGAATGAGGGTACGTGTCTGTCTTTATAATTTCCATGTGGTTAAAAGTATTTTGATTTGAAAATATTCTGACATGGCATGATGGGTCAGAAACAGTCTATTAATGATCAGTTTACCTAATGATGTCCTTCCTTCCCACCTGTCTGCTTTTATGTCTGTTATCATTCACTGGGAGGCAGTGAAGTCCCAAAGGAAGATATATGAAATAATCTGGGGACACGTCTGGTGGTGGTTTAGGACTGATGGGGGGGGTAGTTGTCTGTAATTGACATCTGTCCAGTTCCTTCTGTGCCCCGTAGTCTGTCTACAGAAGAAAGTTTGCATCAGCCAGGGTCTGGGGTGAGTGCTGCTGAGGAGGGCTCCAGCATCACTGACCGAGCACAACTGTCCCATGCTTGCTTCGTAGGTATTAGAACAAAAAAATCTCAGAGAAACTCATAAAGAAAACTTACCAGCCTGAGATTGTGGGGTTTAAAATTCTGAGCGCAGTTCACTGGGTGCACTACAATACTTATCTGTAGAGGTCTTATCTTGGAAGTAAGGAAACTACTTTTCCAACCCAATATTGAACCACCTTGATGAACTAGAACATTCTTTTATGTTTTCACTGTCAGGAGCAGAAACCCGGCAGGTGAGCATTCTGCTTCCTGCTGCGGTGGTTGGTGCACAGCTTCCCTCTGCCGGGGCCACAGTACATCTTAGGTGTACATCACTTAAATGATCTTATCCTTCTCTGTTGACATCTGCACTATTTAAAAGATTACTTCAGGGACACCTGGGTGGCTCAGGAGAGTCAAGCGTCTGCCTTTGGCTCAGGTGGTTATCCCAGGATCCTGGGCTCCTTGCTCAGTGAGAAGCCTGCTTCTCCCTCTGCCTGCCGCTCCCCTGCTTGTGCACGCACGCTCTCTCTCTCTCTGACAAATAAATAAAATCTTAAAAAATATATTTAAAAAAAGATTATGCCATTAAAAAGACATTTATGTCTAAAATTGGGGAAATTGTCACTTCGTTTAATTGAATCCACTTCAAATGAATTTTTTTGTTTTTTCCAGTTTTCACTTAACCAGAAAACCACTGGCCTTTTTATCTACTTAACTCTATATGCACACATGATTTAATTTTATTGCAGTTCTTTTGATTTTTAGGTATCTTGTCTAATCCTTTAAATAAAGACCTTTGGACCAAATGGGCTTTGAAGCTTGGTCTGCCTAAAAACTGATGGGTAGGTTTCAGTAGATGGTAGCATGCATCACCATATTTATTTCCATTTTCATGTTTAAAGTTAATTTCAAAGTATATGAAATCAAATATCTGGTTACAGAAGAACGGGCAATCTTTAACTTCACATACCGTTTTTTGAACGGCATAAATACTGATAGTAAAGCCAAAAGTGATAACAAAGGAAGTAATATATCAGTTGTCTCAGCAAAAGTGCTTTTTTTTATTTAAGGGAGTGAGAATCTAGACAAAGTAGAACAAATCAATTTCAAAGTATTCATGTAATATCTTTAAAGATAAATATAATTTCTAAAGACTGTAACTAGACCTTAAATATTTCTTACTTAGCACTTTGTATTTATAAAATTACTTAGAACTTCACGAACTTGAGCTAGATGTTGACCTGTTTAGTCTTTGTATTTTGAAGAAACGTTCAGAAGACGTTCATGGTTTTATGGTGGTGCTTTGAATTGTAGGTGCTGCTAGCTTCCTCCCATCTGATTGGTCTCGTGCTGGCTGTGAGTTGGTGGGGTGAAGGAGTTCGGTCTGCCTTACGTGTTAGCTGATACCGTATGTCCCCTGCAGTGCTTTTCATCTGAGCGTGGGGGCGGGGTGGCTGTTGCTGTTTAAGGCTGGAAGCATTTAAAGTTGCCGTCATGCTATTTTGAAGAACTTAGCAGCACTCTGGGGTGCATCCTGGAGCCGAAGTTGAAATTCTGAGGCCAGGGAGGCAGTTGGCCTCCCCGAGGCTGGGAGTCCTTCCCTGCCTGTGTAACCCAGCAGTGCAGGGGGGTCTGGGTGTGGTGGTGCCGCTTGCTTTTGAAGCATGTTAGGAAAATGGCGTTTCGTCAAGTAAGTCCTGGGAGGCCACAGTGGAGGTGCGTACAGGTTTAAGAGAACTCTGTACAGAATTGCTTTGTGGAATCTCAGTAGCTCAGTCTGTAGTTTTTCTATGGTACTGGGAATGGGTCGTCTTTTTATTTTAGTTTCTTCAAATGCTTTGGGCCTTGTCTCGTACAAACACGACTTCAGTCACCAGGCTGGAGGTGGCCGGTGTGCTCTGAGGTGGCTCTGTCCTGGCTCTCACTTCCGCATGGGCCCAGCTTGAATGA